GTCTTATCATGATACCTTCAAATCGCTCAACTGTAAGTGGACAGTGGAGCCTCTTGTACTAATTAATTCAGATAAGGTCGTCTCAAGTAGTAGTTGGATGTAAATTGAAAGTGTCTTTCTCATCAAAGAAGGTGCACATGTGAGACTGATGTTCTCACACTATTTTGGCAAGGACCTCATCATTTTCAGATGATTAATATTTTAAAGTGAAATTTTTAAGCTGTAGTATTATCTCAGAGTTTGACTCAGTAAACATTAAATTTTGATGGTTATGTGCTAGGTAACGAACTAAGCACAGTGGTTAAGCAAGCAGGAACGGAAGCAAAACTGCCTGGCTATAACTTGGCTCTGTCATTTAAAAGTTGTGCGATCTTGAGCAAAATTTTAACACTTTTATGTCTGAATTTTCAATCTGTACTATAGGAAAAAACAACATTTTCTCCTAAGTGAGGTTGTAAGGATTAAATTAGTTAATATATATAAATGGCTGAGAAGAATATTTAGAATATAACAAATACTCATTAAATATTAATGTTGTTTCATTTAGTCCTCGTCATAATGCAGTGAGAGATGTACTGTTTTATCTCAGTTGTATTTATAAGTAAACTCAGACACTTGGAAGAATTAAGTAACTTGCCCAAGATCATGCAGCAAGTAAGTGGTAAACGGGGTTCAGCCCCAGGTTCTTCATCACCATTCTACAGGTACCACTCTAGGATTTAAAATTTTAATTCTAAGGTCATAAATTGCAGGCATATTATTTAAGTGACTTTTCTCTCTGTTATATTTTCAATTGGTGTATGTGGTAGACAGACTTCTAAGATAGCCCCCAACATCTCTGCTCTTGATGTACCATTGCCAATTCTTCAGTGTGATTGAGACCACTGGATATGATGGATTTTACTCCCATGATTCAGTTTTGTTCTGTGGCAAAGGTGAAGGGATTTTGCAGGTGTATTTAAAGTCCCTCACTTGACTTTAATATAATTAAAAGGGAGATTATCCTGGATAGATCTAACCTCATGTGAGCCTTTAAGAAGCTCAAAGAAGGCAAAGATCTACTGCTGGCCTTGAAAAAGTTAGCTATTGTGTTATAAGTAGGCCAATTGAGTTTGCCATATATCTAGGATCAGCAACCCCTAAATACTGAAAGCAGTCCCTGCATGACAGCCAGCAAGAAAATGGGGACCTTTGTAACACAGCCACAAGGAAATTAATTCTGCTAACAACCTAAATTAACTTGGAAACAGGTTCTTCTCTACCTAAGCCTCCCTGCAGGAATTCAGTCCAGGTGACACCTTTGTTGCAGGTGCTTGTGAGATCCTAAGCAGCAGACCCGGGACCTGGATCTGGGACTTGGATCCAGTACCTGGATTCCTGAACCATGGAAACTGAGAGAGAATAAGAGTATGTTATTTTATTCCTCTGCATTTGTAGTAATTCGTTACACAGGCATAAATAGCTAATACACTGTCATTAATTTAAGTTTCAACTCAGAAACACAAAAAATGGAAATTTAAAAATAAAGTCAAGAAGAAACTAGGAGCCAACAGAGAATAATTATGAGAACAATTTTTTGATAAGTTAAATATAAGATGCTGTCTTGCCACCTAACTTGTCTGATTCACATCATTTGTAAAGAGTTCATGGTTAGAGGTACCATGTCATTGTGGGAAGAACACTGCATTGAGTGGGCATCAGGACTTTGGAATTTTTTTAGTTATTACATGTTCTTTATTATTATCAATTATTATTATTACTATTACTATTATTATATCCTTCTTCTCTCATTTTAAAAGACCTTACAACTAAAGCACTTTTTTATTATTGTGCTGGGTGGGGGTACATTGTGGCATTTATAAAAGTTCTTATAATATATCAAATATATTATATTTGAATTCACCCCCTCCACCATTCTCCTTTATCCACCCATTCCCATATTCTGGAATAGTTTCAACAGTCTCATTTTCCTATTTACATACATGTGTACACAATATTTGCACCATATTCACCCTCCCATGCCCTTTCCTCACCTCCTCCCCGCTACCATTGGTACCAACCCATATTCACCTTCTTTTTTTTTAGATTCCAATAAAACTTTATTTATAAAATCAGGCAGGAATTTGGGGTTTTAACCTTGACTTTGCAATTAACTTTGTTGTGTGACTTGTGTAGTTTGCTTAATCTCTCAGGATCCCCAAGTGTTATTTAGGAAGATTGAAAAAAATGATCTCAAATCATGTGTCTTGGAATTCCTTCAAGTGATTGGAAGCTTTAGTAACAGGACTGATACTGTCAATAAGCTTTAGAACCTTTAAGCTTTTTAATGTGGATAAATGTAATAATTTAGAAGTAAGTGATTTGAAGATCCTGAGTTTTGGTTTGCTAATTTTAACTCATAACAAGTTCTTGGGTGTCATTGCTTCTTTTCTGTTAGCCGGAACATACGGGTGGCATGCTTAATGTAAGTGATGTTAAAGACAAAAAACTACACTGTCAGAAACAGTTTCAGATTGTGAAATCCTTGAACATAGTAGTAATTTGATTCCAATAGCAGATACTCAGTGACTGTTAAATGCATGAATGGCCTAATGAAGGCATGGTTATTGCCCTCAGTGTTGTAATGTGCACAGTTTGAGCCATTCATGTATATCCATTACCTTTCTGCTTATTTATACATTGGATTTTTTTGAAAGGGTTCTTTTATCATATTGATTAGTAATCTTCATATTAGCATGTAGTCTAAGTAAAACCCCTATATAAAACCCCTTCAGGATTATCTTCTCTCCTCTTGAGATAAAGAGAAAATAAGAATGAAAATGTAGCCACATAGAAGATGGAAGGGATAGCTAAAAGATTTAAATCTGTCAAGTTATCGTTTTCATATCAAACATGCAATTTGAACTGCAGCAGTTTGAACCTTAACCAGTTTGTGTTTAAGTGCTGCTCTTCTGTCCTTTCATCTGTGCCTGATAATGAACATTTTCACACTCAGACACAAACTCACAAGATCCCACTATGGGCTGCATAATTTGTTAATGTAAAAAATAGAAATGCGAAACACCTTATTCAATAACAACAAAGAATTCCAAGACAGCAATGACAGAGTATAAAACCAAGTGCAGGCCCTTGTGAGACTGCACAGATTCCTCTCACTAGGCTGGCCCTATAGGGTTCCCTATTCCTGGGAGATGATGCTCATCTTGGTACTTTGCCTAGAAGCATTTCAGGGTAAATAACTTCATTGTCTCTAAAGCATTGGCACCTGAACATCAGAGACAGGAAAGAAATAGGAGCTCTCTATCATGACCATGCAACTATACTGGCCAGTGAGAGTACTGGTCATTATAAAATGGTCAACAAGGTCATGGAGTTAAAAATAGTGAGTTAATTCATCTCATGTGTAAGAATTGAGCCCTTTGAGGGTAAAGAAAGCAAACAGGAGAAAATAAGCATTTATTTAGTATCTTTGGATAGGAGCCATATTGGGCTTTTTAAAAAATACATGTCTTAGTGTATAAACCAGATAAGGTATATACCTCATTTAATTTTCTACCTGAGGAAAACAGTCACAGAGTAAGTCATTGTCAGTGTGGTGATTACATACATCTGCCTTCATATCAAGCCCATGTTCCTTCCATAGGAATTGGTATCATGTCACTAATGGCTGTGTTTAGGAGTTGATAACCAAATTAAAGTGCAGCCTTGAGAAGCAGATAGAAAAAGAATGAATGTCATTAGAGAGGGAAATTTAGCCTGGCAATTTCTGTAGTGTGGAGAAGCTGAGCATAGCACATACTGATGTGATGAATCAAAGACAGAATGAAATAAATAGTATTATCGTGACTAGGCAGGCAGAGGGAACTATCTCTTTCACAGTAGACAAATGCAAGGATCACAGAACAAGTAACATATTGGAGAAAACAGAGATTATACCTTGATTCCTGCAAAATGATAATTCTTCACTAAATGAAATAAACTCAAATGATGGAAACCAGGCTTCAGTAAAAACAATGAGAGTGTCTGAAGCATTTGAGGGCTAGCATGTTTTACTATAGTATATTTAAAACTTTTTCACTCATATTCTACTTTCTTCATGATTGGGTCATGTCTAAGTTTTAGCCATACCATTGTGGATATAACATATATTTTTATTTATTATTCTGTATTAACATAATGGATTTGTTCTACCTAAAGTACTAGCTTTCTGTTCTTAGTCAAGACTCTCTACTAATTACTAACACTTATTTGCTCTTCAGTTCATTCCACTCATGTATATGTGCATTTCCACAGCTGGGACACAATCAGCTAATATTTATTGCGTGCCTTGTATGTTTTGGGATCTGTCTACCTGGTATGAATGGTATTTGGGTGAGGGAGAGAAGTTGGAGATTAGTAGAATATGGAACCTGCTTCAGAGGACTTCAGAATAACATAGTAATAGATTTTCAAACTGTTCCTAGAAGACTGAGAAAACATATGGAGGTTATTATAAACTTTGCCTGGAGGGGGTGGGCAATTTTGTACAAAGATAACCTTGGGTAAGAAAGTCTAGACAAATAAGTAAAAAGAGTTCACCAAACAAATTTGGGAGATTCACCTTGGCCAATTTTTTAAATTTTTTCTGATCATGAAGTAAATGACACCAAATTTGTTATATTACTCCCTTCAGTTCTATTTGATGGTTGCTATGAAGAGATTTTCAGATCATTAATATTGTTTAGAGGTGATCATTTCAGGTGTGATACAGCAAATAACAGAAATAATACATGACCATAACTTTTATGAATATTCTGGCATATAGTTCTTATATCCATAATTTAGAATATGTGTTGTCTGTATTGTGTGCAAATACATCATAAATAGATTTTGCAGAATAAGATGCCAGTTAATGTTCTACTGTCTCTTTTATTTTTCCTCATTAAAAATTGTAATAAATCGTGATTCGTATGTTACCTGAAACATATATTTACTATGTTTTTCTTTCATTTTGCTTCCAGTGTAAAACTCTTTCTGGAGTCTGTGACCACATCATATCCCTGTCATCAGATCCACTTGTTTCACAGTCTGCTCACCTGGAAGTGATTCAGCTGGCAAATATCAAACCAAGTGAAGGGCTGGTAAGAGATACCATGGTTATCAAAACCACCATCAGCAGACAGCTAATTATGTGAACAAAGCAGCTTCAAAATGTGGGGATCTATGAATTTCAACAGATACTGAACATTTTGGTATTTTTCTCCAAAGGAGTTAAGGTAGTAGGAGTTTGTTATGATAAGAAGTTTCATAAAAGTAAATGAAGATGAAGGAGAATTGAAAACAGTGATATCTGAATTATCCTGTTTAATTTGGTAATCACTTAGCCTTTACATTCTTTCACACCATTCTTTGAATTGAAGTTCCTTAGGTTTAAAAGACGTTCAGGAGCTTTATAAATAAGCACCACAGTGTTACCTGTCCATGCAAGTAGGTGTTTTATTTTGTTTGTTTTACTTTGATTTTTTTCTGGCTTTAATACATATTTCTTCCCCTATACTGGGTAGCCAAACAAAACCAAAATTCTTGATATCTCAGATCCGTTTTTGTTTATTTTATTTATTTTGTTTGGTTTTTTGTGGTCCTGAGGGTACTGTGGATTGAACCTGAGCCTTGGCCTCAGGATTGCTAGGCAAGCACTCTGCCACTTGAGCTATGCGCCTAGCCCTTTTATTTTTATTTCATTTTTGAAATAGGGTCTCACTAAGTTTTTCTAGACTGGCCTTGAACTCATGATCCTCCTGCCTCAACCTCCTGAATAACTGGGATTACAGGCATATGACACCACATCCATTCTTGTAAGAGCAAATAAGCAAATGGATATTGCTAACAGGAGGCTACCATCCATGAGATTTACTGATGTATTTTATTGTATCGTAACAAATGTAGTCATCTTCTATATTTTGTTCACCTGACTAAATATTTATTGATTCTAAATTTGATCAAAGTTGGAACTTTGTTTAAAAAAACTATAGAAAGAAAGCATATAAAATTGATAACTGATGAAAAAACACAAAAATCCAAGAAACTGGCTGGGGAATATGTTACATACTACACAACTATAACACATTAGCTTGATGATACAGTGTTTCTAGAAATTTATCAATTAATGATATTTGGAAAATAGAAATCTTGGAGACCAACATTAATAACATCAATTCAGATTACATATTCTTAAAGATTTCCAAATAGGTTTAACATTTTATGTGTTTTTTTTTCTTTTGCACATGCACATATGTATATATACATCTGTATATATAAAACTTTTAGAGGACAAAGGCTTAATTGACCACAGATGATTTTTTTTGGTTTAAGACCATCTATTTATTCTATAGAGTGACTTTTCTCCTGATATTTGGAAATTACTCCTGGGTCTCTAGTGCTTTGTGCTTTTTTGAGTGCTTTCTTGGGAAGATGAAGATAAGCAGATCATGGTTACATGTCATCATTATAACTTGTAAGTGTTATATCTAACTGATTAGTTTTAAGAGCTTATTTCTAATATTTATAAACTTATTTGAAGTAATCTTTACAATTTTAAATTCTCATTACAGTAGTCCTCCCTCTTATACACACTTTCATTTTCTAGTTTCATTTACATATGGTCAAATGCAGTCCAAAAATATTAAATGGAAAATTTCAAAAATAAACAATTCATAATTTTTGAATTGCATGCCATTTTGAGTAGTATGATGAAATCTCATATCATTCCATTAGGGATGTGAGTCATCTCTTTCTCAACCTTATTCATGCTATACAACCTACCCACCCATTAGTGACTTAGTAACTCTCTAGGTAAATAGATTGACAGTGATGGTGTTGAAGGACTTGTGTTTGATAAGTCCCCCAAAGTGCAAAAATTCAGATATGCAAGAAAGAAACCATAAATTTCTTCCTTTAAGGGAAAAGTTAAAAAATGTTTTGAGAAAAAGAAAAATCACATTCACACAACTTTTATTAAGTACATTGTTAGTCTTTCTTAATAGTTACTGTTTTAAAATCTCTTACTACATCTAATTTATAAATTGAGCTTCATCATAGCTATGTTTATATCAGAAAAACATAGTATATGTAGGATATGATACTATCCATGATTTCAGGCATACCCTGGAGGTCTTGGAACATATCCTCTGTGTTTAAGGGAAGACTACTGTATTGCTTTTACTTACCCTTATCACAGTCCAGTTTTGTTTTTTTAAAATTTAAACCCTTCAACCCTTAAGAAAAACTTCTAAAACAAAACAGTGTGAAATATTTTCCATTTTCCATTTCTGGAAATATCAAGGAAAGAAAGCTCTGTAAGCATAAAGTTCAGTAGGAAATTATGAACAAATGCTACATTATATTAGACTAGAAGTCAGAATACTCAGACACAAAGCACATAGTGGGTATGACTCAAGTGGTAAAACACTCGCCTACCAAGCTTGAGGCCTTGAATTCAACCCCCATTATGGTAAGAAAAACAAAAACAAAACAGAAAAGTATGAGAATGGTATCAAGGAGTTTGGGGAATAAACTTAACTTCCTTGGCTTTGATTTTTGTCATAGGTAGAATGAGGGTGGCAGGAGGAAATACTCTTTAAAATTCCTTTTACCTCTGAGTTTGCAGTTCTAATGACAATCTTGTTTAAGCAAAATACCTTCTCTTGTCATCTAATTTCCACTGAAGTCAAGGGGGGAAATAATCATGTGAACACAATGTAGTCATGTCAACACAATGCTGATTAATGGATTTTATGAAGTCTTGATTTTTTTCTATGAGGATGTGGCCCTGGAAATGCCTTTTTTTTTTAACATAAAAGAAGTAGATCTGTGTCAGCTTTTTGGAATAGTAATGAACTTAAAATGCTAAGAACCATTTCAGTTAAATAGTATAGGAAAGAAGTGGAAGAGAATAGAAATAAGTGCCTACCATTTGCCAAGTATTTTCCTCACAACCCTGTAAAGTAGGTATTAATTATCTCATTTTGCAAGTGAGAGAACAGAAGCACAGATCTTCACCAATTGTTCTATATTAAATAAGTAATAAACAACAAAGGCAGAGTTTAATCAAGGTAAATCTAAATAAAGTACTCTAAGCTTTTTCCATTATCCCACTTTCAAAATTGGAATTGCTAAAGGGAAGTATGAGGTGCTTAGGAGGATAACTTTAAAATTGAAACTGCTTAAAGAAATTCATTTTTAAAGGACAATGAGCACCACTTCATTGGGTTGATATTTCAAAGGGAGAAAAAGAAAAACCTAAAATGTTGAATATTCAAAGAGTCATGTATAAACCTCTTTCTTATGATTCATATCAAAGAGAAAAAAACTGAATAGAGATTTTGCATGACTTATTCAAGATATCATTGTAAAAGTCAGTCACCTTTAAGTAAGCTTAGTAGATCACATTTGAAATAAAAAGATTTGAGGATTTCAGTAACATTTAGCATGTCCTTAACCATAGATAAATGGTAAATGAAAAATGGAAAGATGTGGGGAAACAGGCTTAGTTGTGATTAAGGTATATAAAATTTGCTTTTAAACAATAATAATTAGTGGAAAATTAAAGGGAAGAAAATGAGATCTATCGGAACATATCAAAACTGGATCAAAGCCAATTGAGAAGTTGAAAACGGGAAAGAACTGGTGCCTTCTTTAAGGAACACTGTTGCCTTCAGAGAGTTCATTTTCTATTTAGGTGTTTGGACTGTCTCCATATATGCTTTATTCTACTGACTTGACTACAAGGTTGCTTTGGCTATTGTTGGTTAACTAACATTTGGAGACAAAATGAAGCAAATGTTATTTTGGCAAGCAGAGCAGGACAGAGGGAGCTGTCCAAGTCAGCTCCAGAAATTGTTACTTAAAACAGAAAAAAGAAAGAGTGAAGATTTTGATGAAATAGAAGGCCATTATTTGTCTCAGTTCCAGAAAAACAAATATTTAAATTACATATCCTCCTGCTGTTAGGCCCTTTCTCAGAGGGGAGCAGATAATCAGATGTATTTCTGTGGACACTTCTTTATTCAAAAGATGATTAGTTTAAAACTCATCTAAACAACTTTTTTCTTCTCTTTCTTTTGGTGTCTGACTTTTGGCCGTTTTTCTAATTAGCACTGCCAAAGGAAGATAAAAAAGATGAAGAAGTCAGTTTTGATTATTAAAAGCAGTTACAACAAATGGTTTATTGAGGTTAGAAATGAAAATATTACATAAAACATCTTCATTCTTGTGGCACTTAAAAATGTGCTTTATTTCTATCCTGTTTCTCATGACCATGAAAAGGTATTAGACTTGAACTCTGCGTACATATCTAGATCCAGCTTTAATAATTTTCAAAATATTTTATCCATCTGAAAAAGGAGTTTTGATATAAATTATGTAACATTATTATGATTTCATCAATATTATGATCTTATAACTACTAGATACTTGTTTTAGCTTACACTTGTCACTTTTTCAAGATCTTGGAATATCCAACAATTACAAACAAATATTATTTCCTGAGTTATAACTAGATTACTTCCAAGATTTTTCACTATCCCAATAACTTGAGTTTTTTCCTAAATATTTTTCTTAAGATACTCGGCTTTTTCTATGATCTAAACATTTCTGGAATCATTTAGAACTCTTATCAAACAACTTTAATTCATAATCAGGGCCTGTAAGTATAGCTCTTTAGAGAGCTTGCCTACTATGTACAAGGCCCTGGGTTCCATCCCCAGATGTTTTCAGCATCATAAGAAAACATAGTTAGTATCTCCACCTATTGAAAGATAAGTGGAGAGAAATATAATCAACTTCTACTTACATTTGTCCGAAGAGATGGGAGACTGACATAAACTTGTAAAATGTCCAGTGTGCAGCCCAGTTACTCTTAAAACTACATTTCATGTACTACATATGTGCTAAAGTATAGTAGATATTAACAGCTGGGGATTTAACTCAGTGGTAGAGACTGCCTAGCATGTATGAGTCCCTGAGTTTGAGTGTAGGCACTGTCAAAAAAGTAGATGTTAAACAGTGAGTTTTTGGCTTTAATAGCTACAATTGCCAAGTGCCATGTTGTAATAAGAAAAGTTAATTGACTTTATTAACTCCTGTTAATAAATCCACAAATGAAGAGCCTAGTGATTGGAGTTTGGACTACCTAGGCTTGCAACTTGGCTTTACCACCTTTGGCAGATATCCAGGCTCCCTGTGCCTCAGTTTCCTTATCTCTAAAACAGGAAGAGTGACAGTTTCATCATACAGGCTATTGTGAAATAAATGTAAGACACTTAAAAAAGTGGTCCCTGCATGTTATAAGTAGAAGCTAATGATGATCATGATAGACAATTATGAATGATTCTTTTGTAAATATAAACCATAAATTTTGTTTCTTTCATCATTTCCTACTTTATGCTCTCACAATCTATTTTAAAAACGGATACAGAATGTAGTATCTACCACTTACAAATATATTTCAAGATCCTTATATTAATTTTATGCAATCTTGTTAATTACTGGGGGAAAGACTTGAGCAAGGATCTTGTCCTCTTCTAAGTTCTATATTATAATATTATATTTATCTTCCAATAAATAATGGGATAAATATTAACTTCAAATGTAAGTACGTTATACACCTGCCATATGCAAGAGGTTGAGTATTACCATATGATTATAGCCAACAATGACCAATTTTAATGAATTTCTGTTTGTACTTTTGTTGAGGTTATTATTTTATATAAAATGATGAACTTTTATTTAAGAAATTAGAGTTCATAGGTAATTGATTATCTTTTAAAATTGTATTAATTTCATTTCCCATTAGAGATCCATTTTTGGAACTAATAACCTTTCAAATATATGAAATTTCTGAAACGACTTTTTAGAATTACAAAACTACCCATTGACTTCTCAGTAGTTCTATACCATGAACTTTTCTGTTCTTTTTTATTCCACATTTTCATTGGAAACACATGAATATTCAGGTATCTAAGTATATGATTAACATATAGGTATGAAAAATTATAACATTATAATAATTATTTCCTTTGCATAAGTGCTAAATATATGCTTTTCTGCAATGTTAAATATCTCATATTTCAGATTAGGAAGGAAGAAAATACAGGCTACTACCAAATAGCAGAACAGAGTTTATATAAATCAGATTTTATAACTCTTCTAACTCCAGTTATAGTTGAAGTACCTTTATAGAAACACACTTTTTTCTTATTTTTTATTGTTGTGCTGGGTGGGGGGTACATTGTGGCACTTACAAAAGATCTTACAATATATCAAATATATCATACTTGAATTTACCCCCTCCACCATTCTCCTTATCTCCTCCTCCCCCCATTCCTGAAACAGTTTCAACATGCATCATTTTTCCATTTACATACATGTGTACATAGTATTTGCACTATATTTATCTTCCCACACCCTCTCCCCATCTCTTCCCCCCTCCCACTGGTACCAACCATGCCCAGGCAGGACCTGTTCTACCCTACCCTCCTGTTCTCCAATTTTGTAAATGAAAAAAATGACATTTTTGTTTAAGATAGCTACACAGGGAGTTTCCTTGTATATATGTATCATAACCTGAATTGGTTCATCTCCTCTATTTTTTTCTTTCTACCTTAGTCCCCTTCTTATAGTGGTTTCAAGAAGCTTAAAAATTCTATGTTCATTTAGGAAGTACATCAACAATATTCACCTTCTTAACTGCCTTCTTTTACCCTCCCCTTCTTGTATGTGACCTCTCCTTAGTATGACTTGTTTTTCAGAATATTGCTGTGTTTGTATTAGGTTTATATTCTACAAATGAGAGAAAACATGTGGCTTTTGGCCTTCTGAACTTGGCTAACTTCACTTAAGATGATGATCTCCAGTTCCATCCATTAACCTGCAAATGACAAAATTTCATTCTTCTTTGTGGCTGAATAAAATTCCATTGTATATGGATGCCACATTTTCTTAATCCATTCATCAGTTCTGGGGCATCTTGGCTAGAAACTTACTTTTTATTGTGTAATTATATCAGGTATTATAGACTAATAACACACCACTATTTGAATTTCCCATTGTAACTTTTATTTTGCTACAGAATGTATAGTATAGATTTGGGGGACAGGAAAGTGTGTCCTTTCTTCAGAATAATGAATTATCATGCTGCATTTTATAAGTCTCATAGGAAATTCACTCATCAAGTAGTATTTTATTGAGTACATGCTTCTTTGGACAAATTTTAGAAACCAGAACATTCACATAGGTTTAAAGATAGCATTATTAAATCATGGATTTTTTTTTGATTGGACATTATACTATATTTGAAAATATTTCAATTGCTTCACTTTTTTTCTGATGCTGTCTTTTTCTTAGGGTATGTATATTAAATCAACATATGATGGCCTCCATGTAATTACTGGAACCACAGAAAATGTAAGTATTACAGCATTTCAAATTTTGGTATGTGTATGTTTATCTCATGATTAAGGTTGACTAACAAGAATAGATAGGAGATGTGACTAAAAGTACATACTAAGTTAGGTGCTGCTGGTTTCATTAGAATTTTTGTCTGTATATTTATTTTAGAATAGCTGCTTAAAGTAAGTTATTTGTTTTCTGTTTGCAGCCAGAGTGTTATCTTTTTAAAGTATTTTCAGTCTCATGACAGGTTATGGCGACATCTAAAAGAATCTACTTCCATCTGTCCAATAGTTTCCTTATTGTTAAGAACCGTCAGATAACTCAGGCTTTCTGAATACTTACAGCATAATTCAGTTTAATTCAGTGGAGGGGTAGCATGGTGGAACTGCATAGTTTTCACAGTAATGTCCCTTAACTTGTAGCATCAGCCTCCCTTGAGAACGTGCTAGAGATGCAAATACAAAGGCCCCACCCCAGACCTACTAAATCAAAAATTCTGGGGGGACCAGCCTTTCTTAATTAGAGGTTCTGTTTTAACAGGTGGTTTGCAGGCATACTCAAGTTTGAGAACCGCTGTAAGTAGTGAGTCAGAAGTCCCCATGCCTAGGTCCTACCATCAGTTCTGCATCTTACTGACAATGTAGTGTTTGCAAGTCACTTAACCTTGGTTGTTTTGGTTTATTCAACTCTAAGTTGCAAATAAATTACCTGACTACATACCTTACTAGGTTGTTAAAAACTTCAAATGAGCTAACAAATGTGGAATACTGTGCTGTAGAGAACTATGCTCTGGAAAGAGAAATACGAAGTGAGCATGTTGGGCATTAGCATGATTTTATAATAGAGTTGAATAAAATAATAAATCATTATTGCTGCTTTTCGTTATCCCAGATTTCCCTTCTACCCTTTATTATATGAACAGATACTGAGATTTGAATTTTTAAAATTTTTATTTATTAAATTTTTTTACTGTTGTGCTGGGTGTGGGTACATTGTAGCATTTATAAAGGTTCTTACAATGTATCAGATATATCATACTATATTCTTTTTGAGATTCTGATAAACTACATGTTTATGCTGTGTTCCTTTAAAGAGGACTGAGGTGGAATTACTTCAATCTCAAGTTACTATTGATCTCAACATTTTACAGCATTTCCTTCTTAAAATCACATTTTCTTCATTCAACTGTTGACTTCAATCACTCATTGATTTTCCCCTTGGTTTTCTTGATTTCTTTGTAGAAGGTGAAACACATGATGCATATTACAATTGGAATGCTGTAGCAGTTTTATATTTATATTAAATATGAGAGTCTTAGTTGATCAAAATATCAGTTAAACACACAATTTAAAATTCACTAAGACGCTATAATTTTTTTTTCATTTTTCTTTTATTATTCATATGTGCATACAAGGCTTGGTTTATTTCTCCCCCCTGCCCCCACCCCCTCCCTTACCACCCACTCCACCCCCTCCCGCTCCCCTCTCAATACCCCCGCAGAAACTATTTTGCCCTTATCTCTAATTTTGTTGTAGAGAGAGTATAAGCAATAATAGGAAGGAACAAGGGGTTTTGCTGGTTGAGATAAGGATAGCTATACAGGGCATTGACTCACATTGATTTCCTGTGGCATGGGTGTTACCTTCTAGGTTAATTCTTTTTAATCTAACCTTTTCTCTAGTTCCTGGTCCCCTTTTCCTATTGGCCTCAGTTGCTTTAAGGTATCTGCTTTAGTTTCTCTGAAGATGCTATAATTTTATTTTGCCACTAATCATTCTCACTTATTTGTGCATTTGTTTGATCACTCATCTATTCTTTTGTTCATTTTAACAAGCCTATGCTTCATGTCTGCTATGTTCTAGGTATTGGAAGGGTATTTTAAATAAACTAGCTTGTTGTCCCTGAGGAGTGGATAGCAAGTAGAGTTTCATCTGTGTAAATAGCTAACATAGTTTGCTTGGATGAACAAAGGAAAAAGTAGTAAATGCTGCCCAAGTAAAATCAGAGAAGAAATTGCAAAAATGGTTATTTTGAACCGTGTAATAATGAATTGGTAGGAATTTATCCCTCTGTATTTTCTGGGATCTGTCATAGTAAAAGTTGAGCACTATGCCTTACTCATAGTAATTGCTTGGTAATATTTGATAAATGGATAAATCATTAAAGGAAATGTTGATTTGGGGAGCAGTTCAGATATAAATCATATATTAATTTACCCTTTGGTTCTTATTTTTTTTCTTGAAAATATTTTGCCAGTGTTGGTACCCTTAGTCATTTATAATTAGGAGCACTGTGCTGAGTCTCAGTAAAGCTGTTGACTAAAGTGGGTAACTTCTGTTTTGCTTTGCTGTAGTCTAGTTTCTTTGTTTTCTTGTATGTAAAATAAGGAGTTAGGGCAAAATGATCTCTAGATCACTTTGTGCATGGAAAATCTGTAATTTATATGACTTACTCCTTTTTTATTCATCTGTGCAAAACATTGTGTCATTTTCATTGAATTTCATATACTAACCATTGTTTATTTTTTAAATCATGTCTAGAACCATTTGCTTGATATTTTTCCTCCACATTCTCCTTTAAGAAGATCAGTTGTGAACCAAATAGCACAGGGTCTGACTATAGTTATAACTCTGCTAAAGTAACGATTTGTATCTTCAGAATTGTTATATTTATTACCATTCCCACCTCCTAAACATATTGTGAAATAAACTATTTTCTTAGAGTTGGGTTTACATCTTAGATGAATTTGCCCCCTTAGTAATATACTCCTATTATTGAATATAATATACTTTAACAATATACTTCTGTTATTACTTCAATAACTGGAGTTCCTTAGACTAATATCCTTTTTGAAACAGAGTCTTACTGTGTAGTTCAGACAGTCCATGCTTACAATCCTCCTGCCTAGGCCTCCTGTGCTAAGATTACAGTGTGTATCACCACACTGACCAGTAATATTATCTCCTCTTGAATTTTAACCTACAGCAAATAATTTTATTGTACATTTAAGAATTTTATAGAATTGAAGTTAATATTGTTTCAAGAATTCTGTGTTTTCAAAATAATTGGAAGTGAATAAAAATAAAGTAACTGGAAATCACTTTGTCAATAAATCCTAAGTTTGAAAAGTAGCATTTTATTTTTCAGATTCTTTTTTTTTATTATTATTATTCATATGTGCATACAAGGCTTGGGTCATTTCTCCCCCCTGCCCCCACCCCCTCCCTTACCACCCACTCCACCCCCTCCCGCTCCCCCCACCCCCTCAATACCCAGCAGAAACTATTTTGCCCTTATTTCTAATTTTGTTGTAGAGATAGTATAAGCAATAATAGGAAGGAACAAGGGTTTTTGCTGGTTGAGATAAGGATAGCTATACAGGGAGTTGATTCACATTATATTTTTCAGATTCTTATCACTATCATTCTTCTTTAATTTTCAATAGATGAAAATGAGTAATATGGCATTTATAATTGATCTGGATAGATAAACACACATTTTTAAATAAAATCACATCTATACATTCAGACTAGAAAAGCATATTGCCATATTAAGATACCTAAAATGCATATAACCAATAATCAGTCACCACTAGAGAAAAACTAAAGGTGTTTTAAAGTCATTACCCAGATCTACAACATTACAAAATCTCTATCTTAAATCTCATTTTAGTTCCCTAAAGACTTCTTAAAATATGTCAACATTAAGATAACAACTTGTTTTTGTTTGTTCATTTTTGTTCTTAATCTCTTATGGAAATAAAGAAATAAAGTGATAGAATTATTATACGCCTTAGAAAAGTTGATGTTTTAGTTTATTTAGTGTAGTTTTGTTGGACAATGAAGTACACTGTATGAAACATAAAAAACAGCATGCTCCTACAACAGAACACTTAGAGGGAATGTTATGTAATACAATTTTAAGCTAACTTCTGTTTATCTTTTAATTTGGTTTCCTATATTATTCAGAATTGGTTTTATTAATGGTGAAATAAATTATCAATCTGATTATCAGACTTCAAAGCTTTAATGCTGATTATACACATGTCCTTCATAATGGTCACTTGATTGACCAGTCAATGTGAATTATTTATATTAAATGGAAAAGGTCAAATAAAACGATAATATTTTGAAATATATTTTCAAAGCAGTTGTCCAATAGAGCCTATCAGGGTTGTCTGGATAAGGATTACAAAGTTTAATAGTAGTCATCATTGTCCCTTAATGTTCTCAGGAACAAGTTACAGTTCTTTAACATAAATAGCTACATATTACCTTGCATTTCTATTTCCTGTCATTAGCTATACAGAGATGTAAACAGTGTATTAAATATCAATAATCATTTTGCTTAATTCCTTGAAGATTATAATTAATTTTTAAAAATCTAATTTAAAGAGATGAACTTTCTGTAATGTTTCCAGAGCAAGTAAGTGACTGATTAAATTGAAGTTCTTTATCATTTCTTTTGTGTTGAATTCAGTCACCTGCAGATCGGTGCAAAAAAATCCATGCTGGCGATGAAGTGATTCAAGTTAATCATCAGACTGTGGTATGTATAATTACCTTAAGAGTCAGTGGGAGGATTTAAAGATTTGCTAAAGCTTTAAAAAACACTAAAGAAATGAAGTCTATTTGTCCACAGTTTAATTGAAAAACATTTTTTAAAGTAATTGAGTATTCTTCCTAATTATTTGATGGAATATAACATATGTCTTTGAATGCAAATGAAGAAATACTGATAGTGGTTAGTTATACATTTCTATATGGAAAGGGGCAGGATAATAGTATTCCATGAACTGGGATGACAATTTTGGAATAGAAATTAAAGTGACAATGCATATAAATTCAGCCTTTTGGGGCTGGGGGTATAGCTCAGTGGTAGAGCACTTGCATTGTATGGGTTCAATCACAAGCACCAAGAAATAATTTAAAAAATAAATTCAACTTTTTCTGGTATAACTTTTGTAAGTTTCATTTTTACAAATTATTGAATTAACTAGTAGATATGTTTTGTTATAGCATACATTCATTTATCCATTTTAACACTGACTTATTCATTAAAATATGGTGGATCATTTTGGCTTATTTTAAATGTAGCGTTTTGTAAAAATTTTAATCTTCAATAGCTGGATTGGCTCTTCATTTCCTAAAAAGGAACAGCAGTTTTAGTTTTTAAACCATTGTGCTTAACTAAATTAATTCATAATTTTTTTGCCCTATTAACCTAACAAATCCATTTACACAGCTATGAATGGCAGTGATAATCTGTGCCTATGGTAGATTTTCAAAAATTATTTTTATCAATCTCAGATGTAGAACAGGAACATTATGTGGTTTTCATTTCTGACTATTTTAAATGTCTGTCAATTCACTTTTGTCCCCCTCTCTGCCAAAATACAATATGCTGTCTAAAAAATAAAGTAAAGGTAATCTGAGATCATTAATATAATAATCATCTTTAAAAGTGTAGGATTTTTGAGTACATATTCTACTAATTCTAATACATATTCTATGCTAACTCTTTATAGTGAGTAATTATTACCTGTTACACCATTTGACTAAATTTCTTTTCCTAGTGATAAAAGAAACTTTGAAAAGATTGGTTTTTCTCAGCAATATTTTGAAAAGGCTCCTAAACACTAATAATTAAAGTTATGTTTCTTCAGTGAGTTCATTATGTAAGTGAAATAGAAGTTTATTAAAATTTCAGAAATTAAATTAAATGTATGGCTGTTTGGTTGGCACTGAATAATAAAGTGCTGGTAATACACAAAGCCTTTCCATCATATTGGCAGTTTAGAAGGTTTTATGTTCACATTACTAGAAGTGGTACAAAGTGGTTGTCCTAAGGAAAAATTTCTCAGCCCATAGGATGAGGATTTGAACAAATGGAATAAAGCAACTGCTTCAGTAAGCAATCAGCTTTTCCTTCTTCTAATGCTCATGCTGCCTCCATTTCTGCAATGAGACCTTAACAAATAGAACTTCTGCCAAATAGTTTCAGCATTTCTATCTGGTCAATTGTAAAAGGAGAGAAATTAGTCTCTAATGAAAAATAAGTTTTCTAAAGAATATTCTTTGTAGAGCAAAGATCTGACATTTACCAAATAATATGAAATTCTTTAAAAGTCCACAAATAAAATAATAAAATCTATATGGGTTGGTGACATTTAATTACTGTGACAATATATAAATATATCTTTGTATCACAAGAATATTTTTAAATTTTGAAAACTACACAGCATAATGGTTGGGGAAACATATTTGCCATTTTTGCTTTGAAGTTGATATATGGCTTTAAGTGAGTTGTATTAACTGTTTGAGTATCAGTTTATCTTTTATAAAAATAATAACTATAGCTAACATTTATTGTGTTCTTACAGTGTGCCAAGCATCATAATAAGCATTTTATACATTTTATGTCATTTATTCCTTAAAATAATTCTGCAAAGAAGGTGTGTGTGGAAATTGAGATTCACTTAATTCATCCACAAATCAAAGCTTTCTGACTCCAAGACCCATGATTTTACTTCAATCTTATTATACCCTTCCAAAACTCAAGTTATAAAATTATCAAATAAAGGAGGAAGAATCCAAATAAGCATGTGAGTAAATCTCAAGAAAAGTAAGAGATTAAGTGGGGCGAAGGGTAAGAGAAGAGGAAAGAAAGTGAGAATTTACATAACTGGGGTATGAAAAAGCTTAACTGAAATTAGAAATAAAGTTGAAACTTAACTTTACTGCCATTTCTTCCATGGACTCCTTTCCTACAGATAGATAAAATATGTAAAACACCTATCAAAAATGCTGACACACATTAGGAACTCAATAACAATTAACTTTCTTACCTCTTCCCTTTTACCCACGACAATAGTTGAACCACTTAGGGTTCTGTTTTTTGACAGATTACTACTACAGCCAACAAATTGGTTTTGGATTATAACATGGACAGGGAAATATGTCATGAAATATTTCATGAAAGTAACCTCATTTAATAATGTGGTCAACTGCCAGACTTCCTGTGTTCAAGTAACAGTCATGCTTGTAAAAGAATAGTGCATTTCATTTACTGTAACCTATTGTGCCCTTTTTCTTATTGTTGCCTGGGCTGTGGTCTATGCAGTGCTATTAACTTCTTTCTAGACAGAAATGGTGAGATGGAAATTTTCTGGGCTTTGTTACTAATAAAGGATTGGTAGGCAGATAAATTAATTGAAACAAGTATAACTTATTTGTAGTATGCAATTATACATTGTATCCCTACATTTATTACAATAGACATCAGGTGTTGTTTATGATGTCCCATTAAAATGTGACCTAATGCATTTGAAATACATAATTCACATTAATTCACTAATCCATTAATTTGCCAGGATAGTGAGATATTATCAATATCATTCTTTGCAATTTTAGACTCTAAAATGAAAAAAGCAATGTTAAATCTTATTGTTTTGGTTGATAGTAGCTCAGTTAGTGATTTTATGTAGTTTAAATTTTCACTACTTCTACAAGTAGTCATGTAATACATAAAATCTAATAATTTTTATTCATTTAAGATACGTTGAAAATCAATTTGAATTTTTCACTGAAGTTCTGAGAAAGTTGAGTGAATCACAGATAAATTCAAATACTATCTTTTAAAATTGCTAGTATGTACTAGTATGGTTTATCTTCAAGATGTCCAATTAGATGTATATGTTTCTAGTGTACTCATTTTTTGAAAGTATATTTTCCTATTTGAAATGATACTGGAAATTATATGTGCTTTTTCTTGTTGCAATATTCTTTATTATAAGTGGCTTTTAAGCTTTTCACATCAACATACTTCTGTGGCCGAGAAACTGTGGCTACCAGGTAGGAAGAAGAAAAAATCATGAACGTCCAAGCAAAGCAGACTGAGTCCTATTGCATGTCTTCCCTGCCACTGAAGATCCAACTCCTCAAAAGCTGCTGGAATCCCCAAGGTTTTTCCACTTCATCTGCCACTACATACCTCTCTCTGGGAGATAACCTCAGCAGTTTGAGACAGCAACTCTGCCCTCATGATTCAGTTTTAACATGATGAGACTATTTATAGTTATAGTTATTAAAATATTTGAGCATATTCCTAATGAATCTGTCAGATTTCATGTTAATACTGTTTTTGGTGCATACATGTTCAAAATATTCTCTTCATACTACAAGCAGATACTTTCTTAGGAAAATCAAGTGGCACTTGTGATGGTTGAATCCAGCATTTGGAAAAGATTCCTTTTATTTTGTATTAATATTAAAACATATTCACTGCTATTTTAAAAGATCTTCTGGCACGTAATAACTATTATTTCAAAAAATGGTTCAATATATATGTCTATAAAGACTACAAAGTGGGAAATAATCAGGTCTGGATGTTCCATAAGGTAGACTGCAGCATATAGGATGTTAAACTTTAATTGAGAGATGGATGATAAGTACTTTAACCTAGTGTTTTTTTGTTACTCTCAAAATGGTACACATTATTGAAGGGTAGTTATTGAGTCACTTGAAACCTTCATTCCAAATTCCTTTATGTATCTCTCTTATATTCTCTTTTTCTCACTCTAGCTTTTCATTTCTGACTCTGTCCTCTCCTTTTTTTCATCCCCTGAACAACAGAGAAACATTGTTCAAAGGCAAAGCCAACATAATCACAATAGATAAGTGTGTGGTGACCCATTAAAGTTCATCTCTCCCTTTCTCTCCCTCTTGCCCTACCACCCCTTCAGTGGATTTCAGCAAAAATGAGTGGCTCATTCAGTGGAATCTATATCATGACATTGTTTAATATCAGATATACTTTCTTCTTCTCACTTCCTAATTAATTTTTGTCTTTCTTCTTTAGCTTTTCTTGTTATTTCATTTTATTCTCCTTTCCTTTGTCATTCTCATCTCTTCTCACCTATTTCTCCTCCATTCTTTGTCTTGTTCAGTTTTCTTTATTTTTGCCTATTTTCTTCTGTTTTCCTTTCTCAAAAAAGATTACCTTATAATTCCCTACCCACAAAATATTGAAAACTCAGACTAGCAGTGTTTCTCATATATTCTACATATTATTCCTATAAATACAAGATGTTAGTGAACCACACAGGTTAATTATGTTAGCATGGTATTTAACATACTATTTAATAAATGTTTTGATAATACCGTAAAATAACAATATTAGGATTGTAAGAAATAGGTATTCTAAAACAGAGCACATGAATTATTCTCTTTTGGAAGGAGAAAATTATGAAGTAGTGTTTGCCAAAAATTAAAGAAAATAATGAATCACAGATCTCAGTTACTCATAGTAATATTTTATTTCAGATGCGTCTTATATAGTAGTTAATTTATGAGCATATCATGGCTTCTTTTTCTTTTATTACACATTGAACATTTTGCTTTAATGAAATTGTATGGAAACTGGTTTTAAAGTGCCACTTATTGACATAAACTGTATTTTTTATTTTGCCTAAAGATACTGGTTCATTTCTGTATCATCCAATATAATATTTCATTATTTGTTTGTTACTGAACTGGAACACATTATCT